TCGTACGATGGAATTTACACACACTTCAAAAGGTATTTCTAAAGAGAAACAAGACGAAAAATGGCAAAACTTATTATTGCTTTAGCTACTGTTCTGGTTCTGATGGTTTTTGCCAGTAAGTAATTACACCACGGATTCTGGCTCTCAGACCTCTACTGCTTGACTTTTTTATTTCTAGTTAAAGGACGTCATCATGCTCATGCTGGACATTCATCGTTATTTCGTGGGCGTCGTGGTCCATTACAAGATGCATTTCAACCACCTGTCCCCTACGACAATTGTTGTATCAGACGCAGCATCCAGGCCAGATATTCGCATGCTGGAGTGGATATTAATTGCACGCCAGCAAGTGTCGGCGTCGTTGCGATGGGTGACGGTGATGTAGTTGAAGCTTGTGATGGACAAGTCGTTGGTGGTGCTTACACATGCGCACAAGGCGGAAAAGTGGATATTCATCAACTATATCGAGTTAAAAAGATATCGAGAGTGTTAGGACAAATTCTATACAAAAAGTAGGGTAGTCTAAAAATATAAACTCTCAGCATACATTCTTAATGGATAGTCAGTATTATGTTAAAATCAAATATTGTTAGTGATAAACCCTTGTATGTCTTTTATTTTCATTTGGCCCATGGAAGTGTAGCTGTTCAAGGTGGTACAAGGGTTAAAAAAGGCACTCAAGTTGGTATGATTGGTACGACAGGACTTTCCACAGGTCTCCGTTTTTATGTCACAGCACAAACCAACCCAGGACCAGCTGATGGACTTTATGATCCAACTTCCATTGTTGATTTTCGAACATTTTTGGAAATGGACAATTGGAAAGCTTGTTAGAAAAAAATACTCCAAGTAAAAGAACCAGACTATCACTTTTATCTTTTGTTTTGTAATTAGAGAGCTTTGGTTTTTCAATAAACAAGATATTTGACTGAAAAAAGCTAGACTACAACGATAGAAAGCAATGTGCCAGAAAGGCATACTTCTACTCAGTTTCTGTCACATTTCGAAACATCACACTGGCAGTGAAAGGTTGGCTTTCAAAAGGCATTTCTTTACTGCGAGCAAGTTTATCATTCTTCCGTTACATAACCTCGCAATTCTATTTATCTTTATAATTACTCATAATCACATCAACTGCATCATTATCTACTACATCCATCGATCCGCTTTTTCTACTTGGCGATGCTCCTGCTGATTGTGATTGCACACTTGTCACATCATTAATTAATCCTGGTACGACATCCTACTAAAGGACTTCTTTTTCTTCAAGTCTTCTATTTGCCACTGTCTCTTTGTCACATGTGTTAGAAAAATGACGTTAAATCAATCAGCAAACAGACGATGAATAGCATCCAGTAATACGTTAATTGCGTTTGAAATTTCTTTTGAAAGTGCACTTTGCACATGTCTTTTCATTTATAGTTCTCGTCGTTGTCTGCTCAGCACAAAACCTATTATTATTGATAAAGTGACTGCGATCGAATGCAATCAATGCAACGTAAAAAGTTTGTGGAGAGTTCGAAAACGTCTCATTTTGCCTAGAAAAGTTCGTTCTACGCGACTGATACCTGCCCAAGAGGTTAAAAACATCATGGAACGGGCGTTCGAACCCCGTACTAAAAATAAGTACGGGGTTCTGATCCCATCCAGAACGGCCCGTATCATGGTCCGTTCTACGATAAAAAGAAAAGCTCCCAATACTTGAACCCGTTCTTGTGCACAAAAAGGCGCCCCGTTACTACGTAAAAAAGTACTGTGCGTTCTTGTACCCGTCCAAAACGGCCCGTAATTATCCTATTCTGGCACAAGAAGTTTAAAATTCATGGTATGTCTAGGTGGGTGGTTCATAAAAATTCTTAAGTGCTGGACTTGCCTAAGTCAAGACTTAAGTCTTTGTTTTCTCTTAACTATTGTCCGTTTAAAAAAAGAATAACCCATGGCCATTTTTTTAATAACTCGGAAACGCAAAGAGCTAAAGAGGTGTGTTTTTCAGATATGGAAAGAGCACAAGCTGAAGCATCTTTTCACAAGCGAAAAGATTTTAGAAAAACTTTCCCAAAGTTGCGCTTTGTAGGAATCTCTGAAAAACTCATGTATAACGGGAAATTTTTAGTAGTGATCTACCAGTTTTTTTAACATTAGTAGATAGAAAAAAGTGTCGTCTTCAAAATGGGGTCTAACCAGTT